GAAGATTTCCACACTGGCAGGCCATTTCAGTTCTTGGCTGTTATGCCTAGAGTACAGATGAACACTCACTGGATTTTTGTTTCCATGCTAGATGACCGAACACATCGAGCAGAGATATTGCATCATGTTTTGCCAAAAGCTTCGTGATACTCAAACTCAATCCATCCAGACAATTCAGCATGATGACATGTGCAAAACTCAGATCAAGGAGTGGAACAACCGCTTCAAACATGGCTATGCCTCAGTGGAGAGCATGGCAAGCTCAGGCAGGCCATCTACAAGCTGAAATGAGGAGACAATTAAGAAGGTTTTGGGAATAGTCATACAAAACCGTCATGCAACAATCCAGGAAATTGCTCCTGTGGGAATAAGCACAGGATCAGTGCATTCCATTTTAACAGAGGAGTTGTGCATGCAAAGAGTGTCAGCAAAATGCACTCATTCTGTTATATTAATTCATGGAAAACAGGATAGACTCAGATTTGAGAGAGCTGACACAAAGCATGACCGGGATTTATTAAGGTTCAGAAGAAAGATAGTGATAAAGGGGTTAGGGAGAAAAGTGACATATCAGGGAGTGAGAATCACATTCTGTTATGTTGATCGGGGAGCATACATTAAACTCTTATACAAAGGGAGTATACATTGAAAAATAATGTAAACATATTCCACCCACATAATCCAAGCTTTCCTGGTCAAGAACAACATACTACTTGTTTGACAGGCTCCCTAATCTCCTGACTTAGCACAGTGTGCCTTCTGGTTCTGCCCCAATCTGAAAACCACACTGAAAGGGAAGCAATTTGAGTTGTGAGAAGGAAGAATGAGAAAAGCAATGGAGGAGCTCCAAAGCATTCCCAAGAAAAGCCTTCCAGGAATGGTATAACTGTTGGAAGAAGTGTGTGAACTTCCAAAGGAAGTATTTTTAAGGTGATTAAATAAAATTTGTGAAATATACAAAATGCCCAAAGGTCAGGTACTTTCTGAATACACCTTGTATATATGTGTGTGTGTGTTTTGTTTTTCTGCAGCTTTATTATACTCTACTTTTCTTCCTTCACTTCATCCTTTTCTCCTTCCTCCACTCCCCTGATTTTAACACTTCTTTTATAAGTAGTATTATATGTTAGGTTGAGTCATAAATATTTTCTGTTTTTGTTTATCAACTTTATTCTTCAAAAAATAAAGTGCAATTACAATTTATTCAATTGTATATTCACCATTATTTATATGATACATAGCATAGAAATGATGTTACTATAAAAATGCATTTGAAATGATTTTACTATGAAAATGCATTGCAAATGATTATAATATGAAAATACATTAAAAATCATTTTACTATAAAAATGCATTGAAAATGATTTTATTATATAAATTCATTGGAAATGACTTTACTATGAAAATGCATTGCAAATGATTTTACTATGAAAATGCACTGGAAATGATTTTACTATGAAAATGTATTGCAAATAATTTTACTATGAAAATGCATTGCAAATGATTTTACTATGAAAATAGATTTGAAATGATTTACTATGAAAATGCACTGGAAATGATTTTACTATGAAAATGTATTGCAAATAATTTTACTATGAAAATGCATTGCAAATGATTTTACTATGAAAATAGATTTGAAATGATTTATTATGAAAATAGAATTGAAATGATTTTACTATGAAAATGCATTGCAAATGATTTTACTATGAAAATAGATTTGAAATGATTAGGTTGAGTCATACATCATTTTTTGACTCATAAATAATATCCATTTTTATTTATCAACTTTATTCTTCAAGAAAGTAAAGTACAATTATATAATTTATTCAATTATATATTCACCATTATTTGCAATGACTTGTTGCCACTTATCAGACAGCTCTTGAATACCTTTTGAATAACATTCTGCAAGTTTTGATACAAAAAATGTTCAACCAACTCTTTAATCTAGTTTTCATTAAAGAAGGTTTTTTCCCATCAAAGCATTTTATAATAATTGAAAACATTCATAATCGGTTGGTGCAAGGTCAGGTGAATATGGCTGGTAAGGTAGAACAGATCAACTGAATTCCCAAACTTTTTTCTTGCATTATTCTTACATTCTCATGGAGGAAACTAACAGTTTTTTCTGCTGGACGTATAAATGTGCATTAAATGTTTCATTCCATTTTAAGAGCTCTAAATGAATACTACTCTAATGAACCCACCACACACACAACATTAACTTTTTTCAATGGACCTTAGCTTTTGGAGTTGGTTACTTGTCAATTCATTACCTCTTGTGTTGAACATTGTTGTATACAACCCAGTTTTCATCACCTGCTCTGATATATTTAAAGAACAGTTAGGATGATAAATTCATCATTACAATTGGTTCCCCTAAACAGAAATTATTTATGATACAACTTAGATTGCTCTTTCAAAATGTGTAACTGATTCCAGAGATCAAACAGATAATACACATTGATCTTAAGTCTTCTTCCACTTTTTTCTTTTTCTTCTTTTATGTGCAATTTCCCTTCAGAACATGAGCGATCATGACTCTCCACAACTTCCTAGCCTCTGTAGCTCTGTCTTTTTGCTATCTCTTCCAATCCCTGTTTTACCATCAATTTACATGAGCCCGTTAGATAGAGATTGATCTTTTTGCTTCCATTCCAGCAGAATAATAGTAAAGATTATGACAAATTATGACATTTCTTCAGAAAACACCTGCCTTGGGTTAAATCATGCTGAAAACAATAGTTCTTGTTCAATCATTAAAGTTAAGCAACATAAAGCCCTGTCAGTATTTAGATGGGGGAATGCTTTTGACTGAATTTCTTAGATGAGGAATTATCATTATTTACACTATTTACATACAGACTATTATCCTTATCTTTGCTGTTGTTATCACAACATTTCAGCCATTGTATCCTCCAGCCTTCATCAGGTGTGGACAGTTTGGAATAGGTTACATAGATCAACATACAGCTGATGAAGGGCACAACCAACCAAAATATTGTGATAACAACAACAAAGATAAGGATAATAGTCTGCATATAAATAGTGTAAATAATGATAATTCCTCAATCCAGAAAGCCAAAACATTGTGATAATAACAACAAAAGATGAGGATAATAGTCTGCATGTAAATAGTGTAAATAATGATAACTCCTCAATCCAGAAAGCCAAAACATTGTGATAATAACAACAAAAGATGAGGATAATAGTCTGCATGTAAATAGTGTAAATAATGATAACTCCTCAATCCAGAAAGCCAAAACATTGTGATAATAACAACAAAAGATGAGGATAATAGTCTGCATGTAAATAGTGTAAATAATGATAATTCCTCAATCCAGAAAGCCAAAACATTGTGATAATAACAACAAAGATGAGGATAATAGTCTGCATGTAAATAGTGTAAATAATGATAATTCCTCAATCCAGAAAGCCCAGAAAGCCAAAACATTGTGATAATAACAACAAAGAAGGATAATAGTCTGCATAAATAGTGTAAATAATGATAATTCCTCAATCCAGAAAGCCAAAATAATAAGTCAAAAGATGGATAATAGTCTGCATGTAAATAGTGTAAATAATGATAATTCCTCAATCCAGAAAGCCAAAACATTGTGATAATAACAATGAGGATAAAGATGTAAGGGATAATAGTCTGCATGTAAATAGATGAGGATAAAATAAATATAAAAATAATTCCTCAATCCAGAAAGCCAAAACATTGTGATAATAACAACAAAGATGAGGAAAATAGTCTGCATGTAAATAGTGTAAATAATGATAATTCCTCAATCCAGAAAGCCAAAATATTGTGATAATAACAACAAAGATGAGGATAATAGTCTGCATGTAAATAGTGTAAATAATGATAATTCCTCAATCCATAAACAACCAAAACATTGATAATCCTCCAGAAAGCCAAAACATTGTGATAATAACAACAATGATGAGGATAATAGTCTGCATGTAAATAGTGTAAATAATGATAATTCCTCAATCCAGAAAGCCAAAACATTGTGATAATAACAACAATGATGAGGATAATAGTCTGCATGTAAATAGTGTAAATAATGATAACTCCTCAATCCAGAAAGCCAAAACATTGTGATAATAACAACAATGATGAGGATAATAGTCTGCATGTAAATAGTGTAAATAATGATAACTCCTCAACCCAGAAAGCCAAAACATTGTGATTATAACAACAATGATGAGGATAATATTCTGACTGTAAATAGTGTAAATAAAAAAACTTTGCATCAATTGTTCACTTTTCCTACAAGTGTATAGTGATTTACCCACATTATTTTGGGACAATGTAAAATGTAAAATCCCCAGTGAGGATTAATTTCACATATTATTTATGTTTTCCACCTTGTGGTATCAACAAGAGATCACCAGATAGTCATGTCTTAGCCTTTTCTTCATGTGTATCCCAACCATCTGTTATCAGCTTCAAATTCATGGCAGCAGGTGTCTTCTGTTTGTCTCCATTTTGTTTCTTATCTTTGGCATGAGGAGAGCTGTTAGCTGCAGGGCTTCCAGAAACTTCTAGCTTTCACCAAAATGACTATTTCTTCTCCCAATTAAGTTGTCTTGCTGATCACTTGTTTGGTATTTCTCTAGTGAGAGGATTTTTTACAAGATGCAATATTAACCCTTTGCTAATTCCTCCTTCCAATATTCAGATATACAGGGAGGGATAATGAATACCAGCTCAGAACGAGAACTCATTGAGCTGAGTTTGAATTACAGTTGAGTTGGTTACATTCACTTACGTATTCTTCTTTTGCTGATAGATTTTTTTTACTCCTGTGGCAGTGGAGACTTCTGGGGTTATTATTTTACTCATATAGATGAAGGAAGAGAGAATAGATAGATTCATGCCTTTGGAAATGTCTGAATCTGTCTATTCTCTCTTCCTACCTTTGGAAAGGTATGAATCTATCTAGTCTCTCTTCCTACCTTCAGAAATGTATTCATACCTTTGCAAAGGTATGAATCAATCTAGTCTCTCTTCTTACCTTCGGAAATGTATGAATCTGTCTATTCTCTCTTCCTACCTTTGGAAAAGTATGAATCTATCTATTCTCTCTTCCTACCTTTGGAAAGGTATGAATATATCTATTCTCTCTTCCTGCCTTTGGAAATGTATGAATCTATCTATTCTCTCTTCCTACCTTTGGGAAGGTATGAATCTATCTATTCTCTCTTCCTGCCTTCAGAATCTATCTATTCTCTCTTCTTACCTTTGGAAAGGTATGAATCTATCTAGTCTCTCTTCCTACCTTTGGAAAGGTATGAATATATCTATTCTCTCTTCTTACCTTTTGAAAGATATGAATCTATCTATTCTCTCTTCCTACCTTCGGAAATGTATTGAATCTATCTATTCTCTCTTCCTGCCTTCAGGAAGGTATGAATCTATCTATTCTCTCTTCCTACCTTTGGAAAGGTATGAATCTATCTATTCTCTCTTCCTACTTTTGGAAAGGTATGAATCTATCTATTCTCTCTTCCTACCTTTGGAAATGTATGAATCTATCTATTCTCTCTTCCTACCTTTGGGAAGGTATGAATCTATCTATTCTCTCTTCCTGCCTTCAGAATCTATCTATTCTCTCTTCTTACCTTTGGAAAGGTATGAATCTATCTAGTCTCTCTTCCTACCTTTGGAAAGGTATGAATATATCTATTCTCTCTTCTTACCTTTTGAAAGATATGAATCTATCTATTCTCTCTTCCTACCTTCGGAAATGTATGAATCTATCTATTCTCTCTTCCTGCCTTCAGAAAGGTATGAATCTATCTATTCTCTCTTCCTACTTTTGGAAAGGTATGAATCTATCTATTCTCTCTTCCTACCTTTGGAAAGGTATGAATCTATCTATTCTCTTTTCCTGCATCTATATGAGTAAGATTTGTATCTATATATATTCACAAAAAAATTCTTACAATACAAAATATGTTTAGGCTTTAAATAAATAACAAAGAGTTGATAAGTCATAAAAAACAAATCAATCACTCAATCAAATCCTTCCTGTTAACTATGATAACACTTGTGGTCCTACCTAGGATTGAACTCACTATCCTTGGCTAACAAATTTCTGAAGATATTAGACTCCTACTCCTCAGCCTAATTGATCAGTGGCAGTAGCTTGTCTCCCTTCATGCCAAAGTGGATTTTATCCTTTAGGCATTTTTCGAGTTTATTGAAATTTCTCTTCAGCAAACATTTTTTTTTGTTTGTTAGAAGCTGTTGTAGAGTAGTTTTCACAGTGGAGGCTTGTATTTCACTAAGTCAGTCCTAAATTAGGTCCGACGTACAAAAACGTTAGGAACTTGAAAATAATAGTTAATGATGCAGCAATGTAGTTGTGGTGGATTGATACTTCAATGTCCGACATCGACTGACTCACTCAACTCCACTGAGCTCAACTGGCAATTGCTACTACTACTACTACTTATTATGTGTGGGAGAGTCTATTACAATAGAATAGGTAATGTCTAGTCTAACAGAAACCCAGTGAGCCTGGTCTGAGTACTGCTCAGTTTAACAACTATTACAATGACTGTGTGCAAGAGCCCCATCACAGAATCAGAAATCTGGGATGTGCTGAAGCTGGTTGGCTGGAATAAAATTCCAAGATTCGATGGTTTCATTACAAACTGTACATGAGGCAGTCACTCATTCTTGTTTTTCTGCTGGAGCTGATTTACAATAACAGATCTATACCACAAAGCTTCATCAGGGGTGTGATCAAGTTGCTACGCAAGGACAAAAATGGTAGGTATGATATTGCTAACTTTCAGCCTTTGACAATGGTAAATACAGAGTTGAAGATTTTAACCAGATGTTAACCAGCCACTTGCAGGCTGTCCTCTTTAGTCTTATTGGCTCTGAACAAATTTGTTCTGTTCAGGACAACCTTCATTTGGTACACTTGCCATGCTGATAATTTTGGATCAGTCCAAGGCATTTGATAGGATTGACCATTGATTTCTGTAGTCTGTCTTTTCCGTCACCAGTTTCAGGCTGTACATTCACACCTGGATCCGACTTCCATATGCATCCCCCAATGTACTGGTGTAAGGGAATGGGGTTTGATTGGGGTCTTTTGTATTGTCTCGCTCCATTTGCCAAGGTTGTCAACTTTCGCTTTGCTGTATGTTCTTGCCTTTCCTTTGCAAGTTAAAGATGAATTCACACCTATATGGAATTTCCCTACCTGGTGCTACCACCACAGCCAGGTACTCTACCTATGCTGATGTCATTTTGGTTCTTATGTCAAGCAGAGCCAAGATTGATGAAGTTGGCAAAGAGATCAGAGGGTATAAGACGGTGACAGGGGCCAACATAAACTGTGTATGAGTCTGTTGGTTTGCAGTTGGGCATGTGGAAGAGAGTCTCTTCCCTGGCCTTTCCTCTGGATGGACATGCCAGTCAAGATAATTGGTGTCTGGTTCAGTTGCAATCTCCTCTTGGATTGAATTGGTCAGAGTTGTGGGAGAAGGCTGAAGTTGCAGTTCATCTGTGGTCCCAGAGGAATCTTTTCTTAAGGGGCTGAGTATGTGCTGCATACATCTACCTGATTCTCGTTTATTGAGTCTCCATACTTCCAATTCTGTTTGCCATACTAATGACATTAGTAAGGGTCTTGTTCTCCTGCTTGTGGGGAGGCAAGGCCCCAAGGTAGTTCAGGAGATCTGTTACCTCCAGCCTTCTGAAGGCAGTCTGAGTATTTGCTTGCATAGTAATTTGTCAACATATGTGATTATTTTTAAGGCGCTGGTAAATTGGAAAAAAATGGCTTTAAAAATAAACTGGAAAACAAGAAAAGAAATGCTGTTTTTCTATAAAATGTGGCAGCAATTGGATGGTGAGGGTGAATTCTGGAAGGAAGATACCCCTAAAAACTTCTAATTCCTGAGAAGTGTGCATTCATGTGAAGAGAATCCCTACCCACCACTATGAATGTCAGATTTCTCTCAAGCACGTCTTACAGGTGAAGGATGGTCTCTCCAACATCCAGGCATTGCCCCATAAGGCATTATATCATGTGTTAGTTAGGGGCTCCATTCAAGATGATCTGACAGGCGAACTCTGTCATGAGGAAAGAGGCTTGCTCTGTATGGCCTTGGGTGCCTAGGTTGAAATGCCTCACTAATGATGAGGCATCACTCACCTTGCTGGTGATACAAAATGCCTTCCAGGTTAGCAAAATACTTTGTTTAGCAGGCTAGGAAAAAAACTCCAAACCTGCAGTGAGTCAGTGGTGGCCCTGCATCATACCTTCCTCCATTGCTCGGTCATAGTCTTGTTGTGCAAGTTTATTGAAGATATCATGATTTAAATGCTGCACAGAAGGTTCTTTGTCCTTGAGGCCAGATCTGTTTGTAGAAATGTGGTACTGTTGTAAACTAAGTCTGAGCACTACATGTTCTTTTGCTTGCTAGGTGTTATAAAAATCATGATATGGACAACACAACAGAATGAATTCTATGGGGATGAGAAGTTTATCTCTTACCAATTTGATATAATGGAATATGCATACACCTGAGTTCCCCCTCACTGGAATATGATTGGCTGGTGTCTATCATAAATACAGACGGACGTGTAGGTACGACAAAGTCTATGACAACACCCATTGAACTATGCCATTGGCTATTCTATTGGTTTACACTTATTACCTGTGACTACGACGAGTACCAGTTGATTACTGCTACCGTGTACTACTTGGTTACAGTAGCCAGACCCACTTAGCTACTTCGATCAAACATATCCCTTTCTGAGACATATCACAATTGATCTTGTACTTTAAGCATCAGCTTAGTCAAGATTAGAATGGAAAGACAATGACTCTGTTCATCAGAATTTGGCAACAGGTGGGTGAGCCTTGTGCGTCTGTGTCAAGTGAAAAGAGCTGATTTGGAGCAACATTTTGATGCTTGTTAGGCATCAGGATATTGGGAACTCTGTGTTAAACATTGGTATCCCTGCCCAAAATAGGCTAGTTTAGGTTTGTTTTATCCTTAGTTTCTTTCATCAAGTTAACTTAGGTAAGGGATGTATGCTCATTGGCCTCTTTTATTTCTGTCTCCACTTTCTTTAGTTTAATTCCTCCTCTCCCCTCTCTTAGGTGACAAAGATGTCAGTTCTCTGGTAGATGCAGGGCCTTTTTCATTTTTTGAGTGTGTACTTTGTATTTGTTCTTGTTTTTGGATGAGTGTGTGTTTGAGTGAGTGTTTGGTCAAATGATAGTTGTTACTTACCTAGTCTTGCATTAATTTCATCCAGTTAACTTATTTTTCTGTCACAATTAAGGATTGTGTGGGTGGGGTTATTACTAACACAGTTTTGTTTAGTTTCTTTTATATAAATTTTATTCATTATAAATATTCATAAGGGTTTCATTTTTAAATGTTGTTATTTTATTCCCCCACTCCACAGACAAATTGTATATATGGAAACTAGTTAGGACTTCATAGAGACTTTGAGGTATTATGGTGATTGTAGGAAGAATGGTAAGTAAGAATGTGGAATATGGGAACTAGTTAGGACTTCATAGAGACTTTGAGGTATTATGGTGACTGTAGGAAGAATGGTAAGTAAGAATGTGGAATATGGGAACTAGTTAGGACTTCATAGAGACTTTGAGGTATTATGGTGACTGTAGGAAGAATGGTAAGTAAGAATGTGGAATATGGGAACTAGTTAGGACTTCATAGAGACTTTGAGGTATTATGGTGAATGTAGGAAGAATGGTAAGTAAGAATGTATTGTTTTGGTGTAAAGAATATTGCAGTATGTTTGGGTCAGTAATTGTGGTTAGCTAAGTTTAAGATAAGACAGATTGAAGACCAGTCTTCCTCTATCCCCTATTTTGGCTTTGTGCCACATTTTTGTATTACGCAAAATAAATATCACATTTTTCTGGTGAAGTGTTGTCACTCAATTTATTGAGCAAAATCCTGTTTTAACACTTCTTATACTTCTTGGGACTGTTATCAAAAGAAGTAATGATCTGAAAGACCATATTACTAACCATAACCTTTATGACACATTACCCATATGCTTATTTACAAATCTTAGTTTACTAATCTTGTTTTGTTATCAGCATACTTTCAGTCTATAAAAAAAACAGCATTTCTTTCTTGTTTTCCAGTTTATTTTTTAAGTTTTTTTTCCAATTTACTAGCGCTTTCTTAATAGTGTTGTAGTTGCACACACATGTACATACATACATACCCATCTGGGCATATACATATAATAGTCTTTTTTTGCATATTTATACATACATATTGTACATATATACATGCCATATCAATATATACCTGTGCATAAATATATACATACACATGCAAATACACATAATAGATCATTTTTTATGTATACTTGTACCCACATATACATATAACTATTTTTAAATATAAAAGTGAACATAGAAGTCAACACTTAGAGGCAACAGTCTGTTTCATGCTATATTCAATTGTGGTCTGACGATTGCATATAGTATGAAACAGCCTATCACCTCTAAGTGTTGACTTCTATGTTCACTTTTATATTTACACATGCTCTATCTCTGATATTGAGCACTTTATCCCATAAATATAGCACATCTTAAGACTATATTTCTTCATTTATAACTATTTATATATATATATATATATATATATATATATATATATATTATAAATTAATTGATTTAAAATATGTTTTTTTTTTGCTACACAGTTCTAACCATGTTTCAAAAATACAAGCTAAAAGCCCCGAATTTAATTTTGTAATTCGCTTGAGGATGAAATGGAACTAATGTCTTTAATTTAATTACAAAATTAAATTTGGGGCTTTTAACTTCCATTTTTGAAACATGGTTAGAACTGTGTAGCGAAAAAATACCATATTTTAAATCAATTA